ACCTACCGCCCTGCTCTTCCGCCTCACGCACAGGGCGTTGGCTTCTCGGCCCCGATGCGCCTGTGCATGGCGGAGGTGCCCACAAGTGCGCCGCCCCTCTCCACCTGCACACACTCTCTCCCCAGCCCTCCCCTTGCACTCTCACCCGCCTACGTGCACACAGCCAGCATCCTGCTCGCGCACACTTACTCCCCACATTGCCCCTGACAGCTGGGTAGCTGCTGGTTTGTGTGTGTGTGTGTGTGTGTGTGTGTGCGCGCGTTTGTATTTAAACTCGTTATTGTTGAAAGTATTACATGTGTCTCCTTTACCCCCATTGACCTCTCCCCGGCCGCTCCCACCTCCTTCAGGCTGGGAGCTCCAGAGGGCGCGGCCTGTGTCCAGCGTCTCGCGGTGGCCCCGGGTGGCACATGGCTGGCACAGAGCGAGCATGCGCTCAGCGGCCGAGCCAAGGATGGCAGGAAACTGACCATGATCTTTCCTCTCTGTCCCCAGAGCCTCCCGTCACCAGCACCAGGCCAACTGGTAAGCCCTGAGCTCCCTGCACTGGGGGACGCTGGGAGAGATGGCGGGAATGGCGAGGCGGAGGCTTCCCTGCGTGTCCCTCAGCCTCAGGGACAGGCCACGCTGGGGCCACCTCCTGTAGGGTTTCTGCCTTGGGAATTGTGTACAAATCCCCCTCTCTTTCACGGCCAGCGTTGTTCAGTGATTAGTGTCGACCTATGAACCAGGAGGTCAGGGTTCGATTCCCGGTCAGGACACAGGCCCGGGTTGTGGGCTCCATCCCAAGTTTGGGGCGTGCAGGAGGCAGCTAATCCATGATTCTCTCTCATCATGGATGTTTCTATCTCTGACTCTCTCTCCCTTCTTCTCAAAATTAATACAAATGGATTTAAAAAATAATAAATAAGTAAAACTCCCCCCGCCCGGGTGATGCGCCGTGTGCTCTGGGTCACCAGCATCTCATCTGTGCCGGCAGCCGCGGGGGCCTGTGGGGGCTTCCTGTCCCGGCCTTCGGGGCGCTTCTCCAGCCCGTCCTACCCCGGGAGCTACCCCAACAACGCCCGCTGCGTGTGGGACATCGAGGTCCAGAACAACCACCGCGTGACCATCGTCTTCAGAGACGTGCAGTGAGTGGGGTGCAGGCGGCCGCGGGGCATCGGGGCCTCAGGGGGACCTGAGGGACGTGGGGAAGGGAACGACCGGAGCAGGCGCCCTGGGAGAGAGGCTGCCCGTTGGCATTCTGCCCGTGGGTGCGGTTTTCGACCCAGCACAGGGGCAGCCGCGGCCGTGGGGCCAGCACAGGGCCTTGGCTTCCAGTCTGTGTGGTCCCTACTGCCCAGTGTGGCCACAGGAAGTCACTGGACTTTCCCGAGCCTCAGTCCAAAGAGAGGGATGAGCCGGCCGGCGTGGCTCCGGGCTGGAGTGTCCACCTCTGACCCAGGAGGTCAGGGCTGGAGTTCCCGTCAGGGCACGCGCCCGGTTGTGGGCTCCATCCCCAGTAGGGGGCGTGCAGGAGGCAGCCGATCCATGATTCTCTCTCATCATGGATGCTTCTCTCTCTCCCCCTTCCACCCTGCAATCAATTTTTAAAAACACACACACACACACACAAAAACAATTAAGGTTTAAAACAGGGGTGGGGAACATCTGGCCCAAGAAATCATTTGGTCTGGCCC